ATCACTATTGATAAAATTAATATTTTTATGCAATTTTACTAAATTTTTCTCATAATGACTTCACTTGAAGCATTTTTACTAAAACTGTTGGTCGAACTCAAGAATGGTTCCTTCATTTGTTGTAGTTATGCTAAGGATGACTCTATTTATTACATATCAAGCCAAAATTAATCATACCCATTTGAGAATAATCCAAAAGGAGTCGATCAATATTTCAAAAAAGCAAATAAAATGATCGTTCTATAAACTTTTTTCACATCTAATCTTTCATTAGACTTTCATTCTTTCAGCTAACTATTAATTCAAAAGTAGCTAGCGAATATTTTTCTAATCATATGAGAAAAAAGTCCAAAAATTTTAAAATAGACTCTCAATAAGATCAGACTCGGATGCCTAGACAAAACTGTAGATAGAAATTTTGTAATCGTCACTCTGCTAACGTAAAGTTTTTGATTGATAGTTCTATTGAACAAAGGTCTCTAGTAATGATTTTTTTTCATGATATTTAGAGTAACTTAACATATATTTTAATTTTCACAAGCCATATCGACAACGAATGATTTTGCACATTTAAAACTCCAAAGAAAACAAAGATTTTAGTTTTTTTTTCTTTGAAAATATCATAGATTTCTGCCAAAAAAGTAGGTTTGCTAGAAGTATAGATATACTGTTTATTCTACGAGTGATAAACAAAATAATTCTTTTACGAAAAAGTTAATTTAAAAGAAAACACACCATACTTTTTTGTCTTTTATGTGAACGTCAAAACAACAACAAAAAAAACGAGGTATTTATGAAATAAGTACAATCATTTTAAGTCGATCGTGGCAGAATAAGTGTTTTTTGTTTTTTTTTCTTTATTGAATAAAATGATGAAGCTTGCAGAGTGAAAAAAAAAGTAATTTAATTCGCGCATGCATTTGTATGTATTTTGTTAAAGATGCAACCTCAAGTTGAAAATCAGCGATCAATACAACGAGCCAATCTTATTAGCATAAATCGATCTGAATCATCACAAGTAAATACATAAACATTAGAATTAATAATCTGTTGTTTAGCTTGTTGATTTTCATGTTTATATAATACCAAAACGAATTTGGAAAAATTGTCAACCTTTAGCCGAAAATGAAGTAATGAAACACGTTATATCAGCAGGTTTTGTTCAGTAAGTAAATTGAATAAAATTTAAAATATTTATGTTAATGGTTGCAATTTTATATAGTGTTTCTGAAAGTTTAACTCTTGATGAACTTCGTCAATATATTATTGATATTTGTGGTGAAGAAAGTTATTTTCCAAAAAAATTTATTTATCTTCGAAGTGTTGGTCAGTTCTTAACTAAGGTTAAATATGATGAAGAAAAAGAATTCAAATTGATAAATTTTCGACCGCCAACGGTTTGTAGATTATTAAATATTTAAACTTTATCGTGAGGTTTCATTTTCTTTACTCATTTAAGTCTAAAAGTACTAATATGAGTAAAGAAATAAAGATCTATAAAGAAAAAAAATAGCTTAGTCTTAATTTCTTACGAACGCGTACATTATATATGTATGTATTTTTCTTTTGTAGACAATGGCACCTGAAGTATGTTTTATTTTCTTTGTATCATTAAAATAAATAAAATCTTACAGATTTATATAGTTGAAGAACATTGTGATGATGATTCATCCATATCAAAACAGAGAATAGATTGTTTATTACGAGAATCATCAATAAGTGAGTCGTTAATTAGTTCACAAATTTGGATAAATCCAATAGATGGACCATCATTATTTTATCCATTATTTAATCATTATCAATTACCACAAATTCCTACAGTTACCTGTACACTTTCAAAGTAAATATTGGATGAAAAACAAAATAATGAAAACTTATTTTTCTTTCATAATCTAAAGACATTCGACGCATTTTAATAAACCCAAGACACCGTAAAGAATCTATTTATTGACCAATAACTAAAGAAAATATTTATTATTCTAGAAATTTATTAAAATTACATCAAGAACAAGAACGTCTTTATTTATATCAAAAAGAATTAGCTCGAAAACGTCGTGAAATAGAAAATCAACATAAAAAAGAAAAAACAGTTATTATAATTCGAACTGCTTCTCGAACTTATCGTTATCGGCATTATACAAAACGACAACAATAGTAAGCTACTTCTTTCAATTTAAAGAGTGTAGGTGTAGGTGAGAATAGAGAGAGTAACCACACCTTTCTTAGCAATGTGGAATGTAGCAACTAATTAAAGAGATAAGAATTATTAAAGGAGTTCATGAGGTACATTCAAGTTCAAGTCGAAAGTCCTATAACAACCGCTGTTCATATACGATCAAAGATCACACATCAATAATATTTCCTTATGAAATATGAATTATCTTCTCATTGCATATCTAAAGAATTAAGCAAAATGATAACTAAAATACGTGTCCTAAAATAGAATCTTCCTATGATTGTACTAACAGCTTTTCATGCATTTGCTTATTTTAAATTCTATTTCCTTTATAGACACTCGTCACTAATTCGGTTCATTATACAATGACAACAGCTAAAATTTTGACAGATGATAACATATAAATCATTGTCGTTTTTCTTTTGAAATGCTTTTTTCGTTAAAGAAATATTAAAGAAAAATATATATTACTCATTGAGTTTGTTTTTGGGAATTTTTGGGTTTTAAAGCTGATACTATGAAAAATGAACGAAATTAAATTGTTGATATTATGCAGAATAAAGTAAAACAAATGGTGGTATATCAATTGATGATATAAAATTTTGATTTCATAAATTATGTATATTAAAGTCGTCAAACTTTCAAATTGAAAGCAAAATGTATGAGATTATCTGAACTTCTCCAAATTGCATTATCTGTCCTAATCTCTGCGAAAAACTTAGATCTCAGAATTGATTTTCGAAAAAGTTCTAAGACCGATTTTCAATATGTGTTGATCGAACAAAGTTCTTCAATTGACGATTTGAAAGAACATCAAACATTTTATAGAATCCATCTGTTTTATTGAAATTTGTATTCAATCATAACAAACATGTGACAATGGATAAAGATTATTTATCGTTTGAATTCGATTCATTTTTGAAAGTTTGAATTAGAGTGACATTTATAAACACAAAGACGACTCATATTTAAGTTTTTCATTAAAGTTCAACTTCTTCTAATCAAAGTGAAAAGTGAAGGTTCTGAGTTTAGTGTTAAATATTGCTTTACTAGAAAAAAAGAAGAAAAATCCGGAATGAGTACCATACTTCATTCGAAATCGAATTAGCTATTTGTGAGCAGAATGAACTTAATATTCTTTATATTGATGACATGACTTTTTTCCATATCGAATATCAATAGCATTTAAGTCGATTCTTTGAGTGAGAACACAAATTGAAATTATCTTTGTCTTTTCTTGAGAATTTAGTATGCAATACAAGAGTTTAGCTTGACAATTAAATAGAAATGCTATTGTCTGTTAAATTCGAATTTATAGCTGTGAAAGAATTCTCTGAAGATGTGATGTGAGAGAAAAGAGAATCCACATCCACAACCATCTAGTTTTCAATAACGTTAATGTCAAGTCAAAAAGCAACTTCACGGAATCATTGACATAGACCACATCACATTGACGATTACACTCAGTTCTGATAATAATATCGTTTTCATTAAGGTATGCATCAGTCCCAGTTAATTGGATGTTAAACCGAATGAGTACCCAAATCGACTAGATATCAGATTACTTGAAACTGAGACTGGTGCATACCTATTTCTGCTGTCAATCCATCAAATACAGCCTGCCATGGAAATGCTATTCGAAGCGATGGTATTATAAAAATAAAATATCCGAATTTCTATTTATATTTTAAATAAAATTTTGCTCATATAAACGTCTCTTTGACATCGACACAGAGAAGGAAAAAAATGTCGGTTACTCATTTACGAAGTTAACGAAGATTCAGCTTAAGAATGTTTTGATCTATTAGTTTGTTTACGTCAGGAAATTCCAAAAAGCTGTCTGTATTCTATTTCAATAGGTTAGACTATGACTTTAACATCAAAATATTCTTGAATCTTCACTCTAGTTTTTTTTAGTACGAAATGATGAAATGTGCTAACTTCATCTTAGAACCTGTCAAAGCTTCGTTGTGAAATTATTAGATACGTAGAACTCTTTTTTTTTCCAATAGACTGAAAAATTCAGCTTAAGACAGTATTCGTGTCTTTGACAAATACTCGATTCGGTTTAAGTTTTTGTGAGTTTTAAATCTCATACAGCTAGTATTATACACTTATCTCAATGGAAAAAGTACAATTATACACTCATTTCAAATCGAAGTAGGGCGTTAGAATTCTTTAGAAGATCAATATAGAAACAATATTGATCACAATGTTGGAACAATTAAATTGTCTAGAGAAAGAACAAAATCTGAGCAATCAAAATTGAGATGGAAAAAAAAGCCAGCACCAACTTGCGTGTTTCTTCTCTTTTTCTTTCTTTCTAGCAGTTATTTCTGAGTACATGTCAAGGCAGAGAACGATGAAATTCTCATTTTTTTTCATCCTCGTCGGTTCAAGGAGAACAATCGTAGCTAGTCATATTTTATGACACGCGAGCCATAAGTGTATTGATGCTATTATTCGCTCACGGAAGCGTTTCTGGAACAAACGAGAAAGAAAGGAAAAAAAAAGAGAATAACATCGTTTTTCATCCTATAAAAGCACGTGTTTGACTTCAGATTACTATTCTTCACTGTCAACCATATTTTGTATTATTGCGCGTTTTTCTCATCGTTCGAACCATTATAATGGGCGGTGGCAGTTCGAAAAAACCTTTCAATGAATGGGATTTGATCCAGTTCAGCGATGTTACTGGTGAATATTGAGCTATTCTCTTTATTATTTTTCATAAGAAATTTTTTCGATGAACTTAGGTATTCCTCTATCGATGGTCGAAAAAATCTATAAAGATTTTCTTACCGTTACAGAAAACGATAACACAATGGACAAGAAAGAATTTCGCCGTTTATATAAGAAAATGTATGTAAATAGTCAATCCAGCAGTCTTCCCAGCGCTTTACCACCATTGTTCACTGAACACGAATTGAATAAGATGTCAGATCATGTATTTGAAACTTATGATTTTGATGGAACAGGTATAATCTTCATCGTGTTTCATCAAATTGTTTCATTAGTTTTTTTTTTGTAAAATTTAGGAAAGTTGACATTCGAGGGTAAATCAATGTTCAAATAGTGTCTTTCATGAGATATAATCTATATTTGCTTATTAATAGAATTTGCTGAAGCTTATCTGATGCTCACTCATTATCCAGGTATATCGACAAAAGATATTACATTTCGTGATCGATTTAACTACATTTTGGATCAAGGCAATCCTACACCTGGTAAGAAAAAAATCTTTCTTTTCTTTTTTAGATTGATTGTTATTCCTTATTGTATATACAGATTTCATCACACGTGAACAAGGTGAACGGATATTCAATCGTCTCAATAGATATAACAAGTCAGTGTTTCTAATTTTATTACTTCATTTTGATCTGTGTTTTATCAAATATGTTTCTCATTTCTTGTCCTAGATGGATAAATTCTAAAATCACAGCATCGATTGACTCGTCGAAGCCGGTGACTACTAACTGGGAATCTCATTGGAGCAAACTCGATGATGGTAGTGGTCGGTGAGTGTTTTTTTTTCTTTTTCTATTCTCATCGTTTTTCTTACTTCCTTTTCAGTGTACCGAGAGAGAAATTTGTCGACTATATTACTACTTTGAATGATTACAAACATCATTTTGACCCTGCCACGGTCTGAACTGAAACATACCATCGACAACTACAATCTAACAAACTTACTTTTTTTTTCTTATTTTTCATTCTATGTCATTTCGTCTCATATGTCACAGTGTATAGATTATTTTTAATCAAGCCTTAAATCCTTTTTTTCATTTCTCTTTCCGAGAGTGGTAATGTGGAAAAACTCGGCACTTTTGATTTCAAACATTTGTATCTTTGCTATATCAATAAATGATGAATGTCTTCATTTTGCTACTTTATAACTGTTCATTTTTCTGGTTACGTTCACAGAAAAAGCATCGGAAAAATTCAATACTCTTATTTTGAATTTGGCGCTTGGTGTCCTCTCCATTTATGTGTGTAGTTACGTTTCTTGTCGGGTGTGGATGTTTGGTAACCATGTTTACATAAAACTAGCCATGTAGTTATAGAGGATAGAACATCTTTCGAGATCCTATTTTCGGAATTTTTACTACTGGAAATCATTTTTTATTCGAATTTTTTAATTCGAGATTTTTTTCGAACTTTTTATAGCAATTCAGTATGGATGTGATTATGGATACTGCTGTATTCCTTTCTACTTTATTGGCACACCACACCCCACACTCACACAAGGTTAATATCTTTCAAATAATTAAATTCTAATTCTTTTGCATGGTCAAACTCAGTTAAGGCAGGGTGTGAATGTGGATAACAAGCAAATGCACATACACAGACTCATCCCCACACCCACACTCTACTGGTCTTCAAAACTATATTCTCAATATCTCTTCACCAGTGAAAACGGCAAAGCTAAGGAAAAAATAAAATTGGGTGTTGAAGCTTATGAAACATTCCTTTTTATGGTGAAGTTTTTATTATTTAGAATAGAGTATGAGTGTCAGTGTGGTTGTGAGTGCGTATGTAGATGAAGAGAACACTAAGACTCACACTCACACTCACACCCTTTCTACAGACACACCGAAATACTAGAAAATGCAAAACCTCGGTACATTTCATTGAAGAGAATGAAAATATTTTAATGATGATTAAATGCATGTATACATAGATTCATGACAGATATTTCTGCTTCTCGTTGTTAAATCAAGAGCAACAAAGAAAACCGAAATTCACAGTAAATATTCATGAACTGAATAATCGTATACTTTTCTAGGTTTCGAGAAGACAATTGACCGTACTTTGAAAATATATAGATCATCTACTACGATATTCTCTGCTAATAAAATTAGTTTGGATATTAGATTAAAGAAATCAATGAAGATAGAGAAGCATTAAAACGCAAAAGAAATTAAAATATCCTAATAGCAAATGATGAATGCCAAAACGCTAACTGAATACGTTTGAAATGACGCTTTTTGAAAGAGAACTTATTTATAAGTAAATATACATGATTGTTTTCATATCAAAATTAGGATAATCATGCAAAAGAACTATTCAAAAATGAATATGTAATTATTACACCTAGCTTTAAACTCATCGCTACATGAAACACAATTATTTCTGCGTGGAATCAAGTTTTCTTATATTGATTAGGCATGATTTCCAAGAATATAGTGAAGAATATTGTATAATCCGAGACAATTTTTATAAACAGTAGAAAACTAAGAAATAGCCACAGCATGTTGACTTTTGTATTGAAGTGTCAAGATTAAATGAGCAATCATTTCATTACTCTTATACTTTCAATTTTTTTTCGTTTTGATTCCTTTCTTTTTACCACGTATGAATTTCACTCTTGAACATGCCTTAGATCTACTTCGTGCACAAATGAATACCATTCCTACAATCAAAAACACCCAGTTTTCATAAAATTTATAATCGACATACAAGTGGTAGCGCTTTTCTGCTTTAGATAGTGCTCTGATTATGATAATATGATACTTTGAATCATAAAGATACAATTTTTCTCTATCCTAAATTAAGATCTAGCTGAACATTGAGTATATTGTATTCATACTGCACTGTCATCATCATAAAAATTCAACAATCAATACTTTAATTTGCCTCCAAATCGAATCACCAATTTACAACCATTCAATTGAATACTGTCAGAAGTTGTCGATCCGATCCTATCCTATCTGTTGTAACGATACCATTAAAACACGAATCACACAATGAAATTCTACTTATCTGCTATTGCAGCTAAAGCTACTAATGTTCGGAAAAATGAAAAGCATTGTAATGATTGATCGAAGATAGTGCTATTCAACTAACATGGTCAACGCTAATAAGAAGCGAAATAAAGCTGTTCGACTTGTTTGATCCATTGCAAATGGCCAATGATTCTTATCAGTCTCGGAGTAAAAATCAAAATTAAAAAAAACAAACACTACAAATTGGTGCAGTTAATACGCTTCTGTTTGCCATGACATTGATAATATGCTCTGCCTCTGAATCTCCAATTTGATTCCAACACAGGTCAAGAGTCATGAGGGTCTATGTAAAAGTTGGGGTTGACAAAAACACGTATACTAACAAAGCAATCATTACTCTATTGTTTGCTACACCATTAGCTATATACTGGGTTTCCAAATCTCCAATTTTATTATTTGAGAGGTTCAGTGTGGTAAGTGTCTGTGTGTGAATTGGGAATTGACAATAGTAAGAATAACAATTGAATCACGCAATACTTTGTTTTTTTCTATGGCTTTCCCTAGATATTCTGCACCTGATTCTTCGATTCGATTATGTGAAAGATTCAGAGTGGTGAGTGTTTGTATCAAAGTTAAGATTCATAACAACAGATATAAAAGTGAAGCGTGTATAACAGTGTTATTTGTGATGGCATTGACTAAATATTGCGCACCCAAATCTCCAATTCGATTTCAAGAAAGATCGAGTGAGCGAAGTGTCTGTGCGAAAACCAAGGCTCACATATACAGGTATGAAAATTAAACGAGTATTACGGCGGTTTTTCCAATAGTCTTAGCTAAATACGGCGTTCCTAAATCTCCGATGTGATTAGAAGAAAGACCGAATGTGATGAGCGTCTAAGAGAGGTGTTTCAAATGAACACAAATTAGAATGATACAAAATTTACTCTGTTGTTTTCGATGCCAACTGCCAGATGCTGTGCTGCGGAATCTCCGAAGCTAGAAGCATAAAGAAAGAGTGTGGTTAGTGTCTATACGATAATACATGCTCACAAGAACACGAATGAAAATGAATTGAATATTACTCTATTGGTTTCAATGGCATTGACTACATGTTGTGCGTCTGAATCTCCAATATGAGTACAAGATAAGTCGAACATGATGAGAGTCTGTGTGAAAGAGTATGTTACTATAATCAAGTGTAAAAAATAATCGACTATCACCGAGTTTCTTGCTATGGTTTTGAAAACATCCGGTACTCCTAACTCTTGAATTTTATTGGATGAAAAGACGAGTACGGTGAGTGTCTATGTGAAACTGAAGGTTAGCAAGGATGACTTTAAAAGCAAATCGATTATCACCGTATTGCTTGCAATGGTATTGGCAAGATGCTGTGCTATTGGATCTTTAATCTGATTCCAAGAGAGATCGAATCTACGGAATGTCTAAATCAAAGCAGAATATAGCAAGACCATGTATGAAAATAATCCAGTGTTACCATGTTACTTGCAACGGCATTGAGAAGATACTGTACCCCTGAAACTCCTATACTACTATTTTTAATATGTAGTGTAGTTAGTGTCTGATTGAAAGTGCATTTTGGCCAGAGCTTGTATCAATGTAAAGTAAATATATTACCGTGTTGTTTAAGATGGTGTTTGCTAGATGTTGTGCCTCTAAATCTCCAATCAAATTGTTATCAATGTAAAGTGTAGCGAGTGCCTATTTGAAAGTGGAGATTGACAAGAACAAGTTTAAAAGCAAACCAAATGTTACAGTATTATTTGAGATAGCATTTGCAAGAGACTGTAAGCCTGAAAGTCCAACTTGATTCTTGGGAAGGTCCAGTGTGATCAATGTCTATATTAAAGTCCAGATTGGCAAGACTCAATATAAGAATCAATCACATATTATGGTGTGTTTTTACGATGGCATCCGCTAAATGCTGCGCTCCTAAATAGCCTATCTTATCGGTAGATAGACTACGCGTGATGAGTGTCTTGATGAAAGTAGAGCTTGACAAAAAACGGATACACAATAAAAACAACAAATACCGCGTTATTTCCGATGGCAAGGGCTATGTATTGTACCCCTGAATCTCCAATTTCACTATCATCGAGGCAGAGTGTGGTGAGTATCTATGTGGAAACAAGTGCACAGAAATAATGAAAAGCGCTAATTAAGTATCACTTTGTTGTTTGCAACGGCATTTGCTAAATGTCTTAATGTTGAATTCTCTATTCGATCACATGAAATGTTGGTTGTCGTCAGTTTCTGTGGCAATGGAAGTTAATTAGAACTGTTATAAATGTTTATTGAGTATAGTACCTGACTTTTGGTAATCGAATTGGCTAGTGATTGGCCCTGTGAATTTCTTTGTTTGAGACCAGGAAAAATAGATTGTAGTTGGTGTCCGTGTGAAAAGGGTCAGTTGCAAGAGCGCGATCAAAAGCTAACAGAATCTTACTTTTTTAGTAGCGATAGAAGTGAGAGGAAGCCGTAGCTCTCTATGTTGGGAATTCTTTCGAGAAAAGTCGAGTGTAATAAGAGCCTATTTGGAAAGTAGATATTTTTGCTTCTGTGCTTGGTTCAAAACGGAAAAGAGAAACGACGTTCAAATATCATTTTTCTCGGTTTGTTAGTAGAAAACTTTTTCGACTTTATTTTCTTATGTTGCAATAGAAATCTGTGATATTTGTAGTCTGATCAGTGAGAATAACAAGTGAAGTACATATTAGTCATCGCAAACGGTTCGGACAACCAGTTGGGCACTACACGTTTGTCACGGTATACTTA